TTTCGAGCGTTAAAAAGGTCGTACGGTGCTGAACTTGAGAAATTAGTGCGACTCCACATTACATATGTTTCTAAGGAGGATTTCTCATCAACATTCTATACTGCCTTTCGTACGACAATGACTGAATCAAACATTCGAGGAGGATTTCGAGGATCTGGCTTAGTGCCGTACGACCCAGATTCTGTGATTTCACAGCTTGATATACGTCCAAGGACTCCGTCACCTCCATCTACCTCAACAAGCCTCCTAGCTATTTGGGAACCAAAGACCCCAAATAACATAACAGAGGCATATTCCCAGACGTCATATATACAAAACAAGGTCGTACGACACCAAGATAGTTCTCCGACCCAGATTCTATATGGCCTAGACCAGCTTGCAAAGGATGCACAGCGTGCAATCACTGAGGTAGGTTTATTACGAGCTGAGAATGTTACACTTCGTACAGCAAATGATCAACTTAGTCGGCGTCGTCGTACGAAAAAGCGCCGATTATAGGAAGGAGGATCACTTACTCTCCAAGATGCGCAAGATTTAGGGGTCCTTAGTAATGTTGATTCGCAAGAACAAGTGGTTTTAGTAGAAAATAGTAATTGTACGAGCCCGAGTCTAGTACCTCGCCGGCGCTGTGGACTATGTGGGAAACATGGCCATAACATACGAACTTGTCAAAAAGGAGAAGAAATATGCGAGGATTCCGATTCTGAATACTGTAATTAATTTAATTAATTGTGTCGTGAGATATTTAAGAATTTATAAAATGCCAAGAAAAAAAATCCATTTCGCTTGGGAATCCAACTCGCTTGTGGACTACGTTAAGTGCTATTAATTAAATAAATCATTTTTCACGCTGATATGCGCCATGTATACAGTATTAAGCATTTTGGTCTTCCAATTTTGAGACAGAATTGCCACTTATAAAGCTAACATTACTCTACCAGTAATTTTGCTATTAACTTTGTGAAGTGGTATATGGGTGGTATTTCTTTGTAACACCATACCCATGCCATTTTCCCGTACCATGTCTACTTGGAAAGTTGTTATTTATACTCTGAAATAGCTCTGATTGAATATTTATCCAGATAAAAACGGACACGTTCAAAACCAGTACGTCGAAAAACTCGCTATCACATCGATACCATAAAGTTCCTCGCCTCCGGCGTATGAATAAACTAATTAACTACTTAGGTACTACTTAATTAATGGTGAGTACTGGGCATGACTACTTAAGTAATTATAATTAAAACATGACTAAAGTATGAAATAATTATCCTTTAAGTAGACCACTTTTAACCTGTTCCACTTCCTTATTGACAAAAATCCCCAACCTTTTCAGGCTTTTTATTGCCTTAAAAGTCTCATTTGATACTATGGCTTGTTCCTGTTCTTAGATATGATATTGGCTCCCTTGCTAAATAATCGTTCGTTAGGAGCGCTTGTCGCCAGAATCTGTAAATATCCCCTTCGTTATATCAATATGACGGGGGCACTCGTCTAATTCCAAGTAGGCGGACGACCGGCAGGTGTACCGGGTCACCTATGGCGTGCGCTACGGCGACTGAGCCCGGCTAAACCCCGAACTACTTAAGTACTTGGCGCCAAGTACTTAAGTTGAGTTGAGTAGGGCTTTTAAGCCCTCGATTAGAGCAGAGTAGGTGCTAGTCTCTACTCGCTCTATACGCAGCTCGCCTCCCTCGGAACCCATATTCCTCCCCCACCTCCCAACAAATCCCTCGATTTCCCATCAACTTTTTATTATTCTCCTCCTTCTTCTTCGTCGTCTTCTTCTTACCTGTCTCTGCCTGTCTCGTAGCTCTAATCTTTTTTGCTGATGGAGTATAGTTGGAATGGTATTCAGTGGTCTAAAAACGCGGTAGAGCTTTTGCTGGCTTGACTTGGTAGTCAAATTGTGATGTAAAGGGATAAGTCTGCGCTACCTGTGGATTAAAAATTATCTATGCTCTGCGCATAGATATCCAGTGTACTTCAAAGTTTGACATGTGTGGCTGTGGCTGTGATTGTAATACAAAAGTCTAGTGCTATTCACTATACCATAACTTGAAAGAAGAAGATTTGGTAGTGCAAAAAGGAGTGCATTGTAAATACAGATCTCCAAAGTAACGTTCTAATTGTATTCACCTCTGTGCAACTTGGCTATGCTCTAGAAAAACAAGATTCAGTGAATCAGGGGTAGTCTGTGGATTTAGATTGAAACAATGGATTCTAAAATTAGTGGATATATCATTCTTACTTCGAAGCGCACATGGATGTGGCTCTTAGACTCGGCATTCAACATAATTTCCAACAAAATTTCCTGAGCTCTTGTAAAATTCCATCTTCCTAATCTACCCTATCTCACTTGTATCTATTTACAATTTGAAGTACCCAGGTTGAAATTTGGAGCATGTTTGGCTCGCGAGTGGGAATGGTGCAAATGTTGGTGCAAATCATAAACTCTTGCACCAGTCCTAGGACCCAAGGGCTCATGCAAAAGTTTTCTGATTTGCATGCAATTTGTACTATTCTGACGAAACATATGCACGACCATTTGGCTCGCTGCAAAAGTTTTTTTATTTTAGGTGCAAATCTTTACATAGCTGTACCCTAGTATAGTATATTATTGGGTTGAAAGGGTATTGGGTACTGAAGGTCATGGAGAATTGATTGCATTGTAAAAGGTAGCTATCTAAGGTGTTTATATAAAGAGTGTTAGTTTTATGCAGACATGAAGCATTTAGGCAGCAGAGCTATAAGTGGATCAAATCAGGAAGTGGAGCAAAAGAGAAAGTAGACCCAGCACAACATATATGTATCACCCCATAATATCCCTCCTATGATACCACCCTTCCTACCCTACACCCCCTCTCCCTGCCGTGTCCCCTTCCTTTTTACGTCTACGTATTATGACTAGAAATTAGCCGAGTTTAGCCTTCTGTTAGTATATGTGGACACTGTAGGAGGGACACTGTAGGGGAATAGAAAGAATTGCACGGAGATTTGCAGGAATCAAAAAGATCTGAAGGGTTGAGGCCTCAGTTCTTTTATATTCTTATTTTGGTGGTGCAAATCTAAAAACTTTTGCAACTAGATTTGCACCGGATTTGTGACGATTTTAATCTAAAACAATATTTCCTGGCCAAACACTCGTGCAAAACTCGCGAAACTCGCGAATCTATTTATAAAAGAATTGCATGCAAAAGTATTTGCTTCGTGAGCCAAACATGCGTTAAGTTAGCAAAAACCCTCTCAGGATCATACTTCCCCTGAATCTCCAACTGCCTCGCCCGATTATGCTCGCCATACCCCCCAAAAACATCCTGGCTGACATTCGCGTAATTCTGATAGATAAACGGATGAAATAAATCCATGTCCTTGGTTAAATTGATAGATCTCTCCATGAATGTTGAGTATGCGTTATGCACCCGGAGACCATCTGCTGCGTGTTTCCATTGGGGTGATAAGGATATTACTGTCGAAGAAATCGGCGAGTTGCGCACTTCATGAAGGTACGGAAGGGAAGGTGTGAAATCTTACGCATGAAAGGGGCATATATGAATCTAGGTGTTGGTAAGACTGGCACCTTCATCCTGCATGGAATCAAGAGACATTCATACGTACCTTCCTCCTGGAACATTGAATGTTGTTACCTCCCGACTGGCTGAAGCAAGATTTCCCACCTGGACCGAACTATACGCATGATTGATAGTTCCAAACTCCTGAAATTCGGGAGATTTGACGACGGGTTCTGAATGCACAATACAGGCAGCTGCCAGCAGAGCCCCTAGTTTTGGCATGTGGCCAAAACCAATATAAAGATGTAAAAATGGTTTCTCCTTGGTGCTCGTATCAACCAAGACTTCAAGGAGTTCCGGGAGCGTGGTACTGCGTCCGATAAGACACAATGCCTTGACTGCTACGTTGGCCGCAACTCTTTTTAGGGAGCCGAGAGAGAAGTCAAGCTTATATGGTGCGAGTTGCAAACGTGTGTGTCGGGAATGATAATCTGACATTAGATAATAGCTTAATCCACCACAAACCTCTCTTTGAGGGTAGACTTGAAGTTCGAAATTGGTTACTACCCCAAGTTGTTGCCGCCCCCTCGTAAGGCCCAGAAGAGGTCAGGGTGGGATGCGTTGTTGATGTTTGAGATAGATCCATTTGCAAGAACGACCTAAGTTTCTCGCTATTAGATAATCGAGTTATTATTCTTGGGGGATTGAAATGAACAGCATACCTCATAATTTCGGATAGTGTCTGAAGCCCATCCCTATTGACGAGACATGAATGAAATCCCGCCTATCAATCCATGTTAGCGATTCCTTCGGGCCAAGTAACAACACAACGAATTATACGAAGAGTAAAAAGAACTTACCACCTAGCAAGAACCCTCCCACCCCAACGGAATACACAAGGCCGCCCACAACAACTAAACCCATCGGTTCCAGAACTTCATAAACCTTTCCCCATCGATTTCCCGAGCCACAGTCTTCCGATCATTATTAACTTTAATCTGATTTAAATTTACCATATCAATTGTGACACCTCCCTCTGCATTTGAAGCACCTTTGAACATAGCATGGCCTCCAGACTTGACAGCAAAATGGCACTGGTATTTTCTGACGATCTGAATAGTAGTAGAGACATCATTTGCTGTGATAGGTCGGACTACACAAGCAGGTATCACTTCTCCTTGCCTCGAGCAGTGATAGGATTTTGCAAAACTCCGAGGTAAATTTCCATGATATGCTTTAGTCCCCAGAACATCTGAAAGTTCTTTGTACTGAGATGAGGTGATCATATGGTTAGTTCTATGTCTGATCACATGTTGAAGAAAGGTTGCCGGAGAACTCACAGCATTGAAACAGTTATCCACGCTGTCGTTTTCTCCTATAAAACCCTGTGCTTCTCTATCACTTTGAGCATAAACGTGCCTTCCCAAGTACAAAAGGAGTGACAGCCCAAATCTCAATCGAATCATACCCATCTTAGCGTCTCTTAACCTGTGTCTCCCATTGTGCGGCAAAAGTGCTTTGGATATTGATCTTGATGGTCTCGCTATCTTCTTCTTGGAGAAAGTACCAGTGAGTTTTATAATCACGATGTGAGGCAAAAGAAGTGATATAACGTTCGTCGTCGCTGGGTTTTACGTGTCGAGTTACATTACGAAGTAAAAGAGCCTCGGCAATCACCACTACAGTACTGTGCTTCTCTTCCATCGTACGAGAGAAAGGTCAGGTATCGCGTACAGACTGGCAGTTAAAGTAGGTTGAAAACGCTCTAACGTACTTCATAAGGAGTCCGGATTTATAAGCAGTCCGGATTTTTTACCCCACCATTGACCACCCTACACACTTTCAATCTACATAACTTACCCAATTATTGTTCAAATGTCTCTAAAAGAAGGTCAAATTGCTCTTGCAATCAGTGCATACAATAAGGGTCAATTTACAAGCTTAAAAGCAGCTTGTACAAGGTACGATACGCCATATTCTACTACTTACGACCGCGTCAAGGGAGCTATTCCACAACGCGATTTCCGACCCCGAAACCAGAAACTCACCGACCTCGAGGAATCAGCACTTATACAATGGATGTTATCAATGGAAGCTAGAGGTCTGCCAGTACGGAAAGATTCGATACGCCAAATGGCCGATTTACTACTGGAAAAGCGAACTGGAGTAGGTCGAATTATTGTCGGAAAATGCTGGGTTGACAACTTTATAAAGCGCCACGACTCTTTACGGACGAAATACACTCGTAAATACGACTATAAGCGCGCAAAATGCGAGGATCCTACGATTATCCGAGATTGGTTTCGATTAGTACATAATATTGTTGCGAAATATGGTATACTAGCGGAGGATATATACAATTTCGACGAGACTGGCTTTCAGATGGGAGTAATTGCGACCGCAAAAGTTGTTACAGGGTCAGAATATACAGGACGGGCTATTCATATACAACCAGGGAATCGCGAATGGGTTACAGTTGTCGAATCAATTTGTGCAGATGGATGGGTGTTGCCTCCAATGGTTATATTTGAGGGCAAGGTGCATATATCGACTTGGTATACAGATCAATTACCAGCAGATTGGACAATTGCACTTAGTGATAAAGGGTGGACCAATGATTCCTTAGGTCTTAAGTGGCTTTCAGACGTATTTGAGAAATATACCAAGGACCGTGTAAAAGGAGTATATCGACTTTTAATCCTCGATGGCCATGGTAGTCATTCTACTCCCGAATTCGATCTTTTCTGTTCAGAACATAACATCATAACGCTTTGTATGCCACCGCACTCATCTCATCTTTTACAGCCATTAGATGTTAGTTGCTTTGCAGTTTTAAAGCGACTTTATGGACGAGGAGTCGAGGAGCTAGTACGAGCCGGCACATATCATATCGATAAACCAGACTTCCTTTCAATATATCGTGTAGCCCGTACAAGTACTATGGTCAAAAACACAATCTGTAATGGATTCGCAACTACTGGCCTTGTCCCGTACAACCCAGATCAAGTATTGAGTAAATTACATACTCAATTACATACGCCTACTCCTCCTTTACTTTCTCCAAACCTACTACCTTGGGTCCCTGAGACACCCCATAATACATATGAGGCAGATCAGCAAACCCAGACAATTAAAGCATCTATTAAACGACGTACAAACGTTCTCTCAAGCCCTACTGCTATTGCATTAGATCAATTGGTTAAAGGGTGTAAGATGGCTATGCAATCAGCTACGGTTTTGGCAGAGGAAAATCGACATTTACGAGCTGAATCTGAACGTCAAAAGAAGAAGAAGACTGTGCGACGTCAATATATTGCTACTGGGGGTGTTCTTACAGGTCAGGAAGGGAGGGAACTTATTCAAAATAGTGATAATATGGTTTTGGATGAAGCTGTGGCCCCGCTAATTGAACCACGAATTCGTGCACCACGAACCTGTAGTACATGTAGATCACTAGCGCATACTGCTCCTAGGTGCCCAGATCGAGAATAAGAAAGATAGTATAGTTTATATGAATAAATATTAAGTGGTTAAAGTTCTATGGTTTTTAAAAGTTGGATGGTGGGGTAAAAAATCCGGACTGCGTATAAATCCGGACTCCTTATGAAGTACGTTATCACATTCCCTAGTAAGTAATGAGGAAGTGAAGTCCCAAACGGCTGGAAAGGCTCGGAAGCTGATCCCCGAAGCAGTTAGCACGCCAAGACACGGCGGAGAATACTTACAGGGCTCCCTAGCAAAAGTAGGCGAAGAGGAGAAGAGAAGACCAGCACGTTTTCATAACAGCCTTCCTATTGGTCTCTTCCGACGACATACCCAAATCTCACTTCTTCATCCATCACTTCACGACCATACCTACTTCTCACTCGCCCATTTACTCAGTACTGATTCTTCTCCAGCTGTGGTACCACCACGACTTCACGAGTGTATCATTGAGGAGCAAGACTCGTGATGATTAGGTAGGTGTCCGACCGATGCACTACAGTTGGTGGTGTGTTCATGTACGGCCTGCACATGTGTACGGAATATTACATTATCGACCAAGATGGGAGTTTGGTGCTATCAAGCTTTCCAAGACCTCTTACCCGTCGCGCATCACCACATGGGCTGAAGTGCCTAGAATTGCAGTTTGGAATGACGTGCATCACCTTGTGCGAAGATGTCACTGTCACCGAAGAGACCAGAATCAGGCAATGTGAGATGAACTGACCCAACCTAGTCCAACCCAACCAACCTCGTTCTACTTTTTTTCACTGCCTCGTTCTTCGGGGTCTGCGATAGCGAAAGATGAAGTGCACGTTGTCGATTCCTTTGGACGACAAAATTTGATGGAGGGAAAGGGCGAGAAATCCTAGCCTCGACTAGGCTTGTTTGTTTCACCGGTTTGGGGAATTCCTTTAGCAGCAGCCACAGCGATCTACCTTGGCTGACGATGGCTGCTGTGAAGGTCTTGCTTGATTGCTTCCCGCGATCTGTTCTGGAAGGCTTCCTGATGTGGAAGTAGGTATGTTACCAGAGCACACCCTCATGCCAACACGAGGCTGATTTCCTACTGAAGCATGGTTCCTTGTTGTGGTGGGTAGGACAGTAGTTGATAGTGGATTCGGCCAGGACAACGATCAAGTGATATTCTTGGATGCTAGGTAAGGGATATCCTCGTTGTACTTACATACCCAGGGATTCTCGATTCTTGATTCGCCATGAACAGTTCGACTTCAACATACACTCACGAAGTATTCGCCCGGTGCAAACGATGAATACGACTTGCGCTATCATGTTAATTCTTTCCACCTAAAAGATGCTTCGCTTATTTAGTTAGTAAAGTGTGCTTCAATACTTGTACGTGATTGGTGCGCCGAGTGCCTGGATGAAAAAAAAGGACTGAGGAAGACAATGAAATGAGCCTTTTGCAGAAACTAGTAGGAGGCGAATACCGGAGATCAAGGAAATGGAATGCGCCCTCGACGAATCACACAAAGGAGGAACAAGCGCCGAAGGTAGTTCTTTGCCAAAGAAGGTAGGTGTAGGTAGGTCATCATTATTAAGTAGAGGCAGAGATAAGAAAATCCGGGGATTTCTGATTATCAATCCGCATCAAGAGAAGTCTTCGGGATTGACAATCCCCTTCATACCAACACACTTCACTTTCAGTCTGTATAAGTTTGACGATAGAACTACTGCAGAAGGCAGTTCATGTGTGCCGTGACGGGAAGAATTTGCCATCGATGCTAGCGAGTAGTTCCAAGGGGGGCATGCACGTACACAAGCATCTGCTCCTCTTTGGTGTGTCGAAGCCGAGATTCCCCACCACTAGACTCCTCGCACCCTAGTAATCAGGCTCTTTCAGGGCGCTCCATTATTCGATGGTAACATAATATCCAGCCACTCTACCCAATCCCAGGGCGAGAAAGATCGTGGAGCGCGGTATGATTGCTTTTTAGGATCATGTCCTCCCCACAAGTAGCCCGTAACCTTCCTCTTACTTTCCCTTCCTGGCCAGCGGCTTGCGAGTGAAGAACGTCCTAGGCAACTCGTCGCGTCTCACTCCGTCGGCCACCACTCCCAGTTACGTTACTGCCATCGCTAACGAGTAACTGCACGTCGTTCGCCAGGCCAGTCAGTATTGGTTGGTACCAATATAAACCTCGCTCGTGTCCCCTACTTTCTACCTCTCCCTCTTCCTTTCCCAGTCGAGCACCCAAACACCTTCAATCCTGTCTCCTCATCGCTATCCGACCTCAGCGTCGCCCGTAACAGACACCTAATTACCTAGGTGGTCAATTCTTTCATACACGGAATCCGAACTCGACAGATCAACTCCCAATGGCTGCCCCTGTGGTCAAGACCGCCGGTGGAAACAATGCATTTCACAACTTCCATAACGATTTTGCTCATATTCAGGATCCCAATGAGCGACGAAGATTAGCTCTCGCCGAGATTGACAAGGCTCCCTTTGGATGGTATCACGTTCGTGCTTGTGTGGTTGCCGGTATTGGTTTTTTTACGGATTCTTACGATGTAAGTTTTAAACCATTGCAAACAAACTAATCTGAATGTATCAAAACCTAATATTTATCAGATCTTCGCCATTAACTTGGTCACGGCTATGTTAGGTGTTGTCTTCTGGCAAAACCCAAAGGCAAAAGGTGTCATCCCACCAAATTCCGATACGGCTATCAAAGTCGCTACATCTGGTGGAACCGTCCTCGGACAGCTTGGTTTTGGTTATCTCGCAGATGTCGTTGGTCGTAAGAAGATGTATGGTCTCGAGTTGATCCTTATTATTTTCGCCACGCTCGCTCAATCTCTTTCTTCGCCATCTCCAGCTATTTCCATTGTCGGCCTCATCATTTTCTGGCGAGTTCTTATGGTGAGTAGATGCATATGGAAACTTGAAACTTGCCAACTGTTGATAGGGTATTGGAATTGGAGGAGACTACCCGTTGTCTTCAATTATCACATCCGAATTCGCTACCACAAAATGGAGAGGAGCCATGATGAACGCTGTGTTTGCTATGCAGGGTATTGGTCAATTTGCCGCTGCCATTATGGCTTTGATTGTCACGGCTGGTTTCAAGGAATCTTTGATCACTGGTAGCAAGCCATCAACCTGTACTGGTGTTTGCCAACTTGCTGTTGACAAGATGTGGCGTGTTATCATGTAAGTCGATACTCGGTCAGCTTTGGTAATATCTCTAATGTCAAAATAGTGGCTTCGGTGCTGTACCAGGCTGTATCGCCCTTTACTACCGTCTTACCATCCCAGAGACTCCTCGTTATACATTCGATGTCGCCCGTGATGTCGAGAAGGCAGCTGAGGACGCCAGTGCCTACATGCGCGGTCGACCCGAGGGAGAAGTGGATGAGATTCGTCGTGTCACCGCCATGCAGAAAAACGCCAGCGCTCTAGAAATCCCCAAAGCCTCCATGAGAGACTTCATCCACCACTACCGACAATGGAAATACGGCAAGGTCCTCCTTGGCACAGCTGGTTCCTGGTTCTTTCTCGACGTTGCCTATTACGGTCTAGGTCTAAACAACTCCATCATCCTCTCTACCATCGGCTATTCAGGCGGCAAAAACATGTACGAAGTCTTCTACAAAACCGCCGTCGGCAACCTGATCCTCGTCTGCGCGGGTGCCATCCCAGGCTACTGGGTCTCCGTAGCCACCATCGACACGCTCGGCCGCAAGCCCATCCAAATCGGCGGCTTCGCAATGCTCACCATCCTCTTCGTCGTCATCGGCTTCGCATACGACAAACTCTCCGGCAGCGCCATCCTCGGTTTCTACGTCGTTGCGCAATTCTTCTTCAACTTCGGCCCCAACTCCACGACCTTCGTCGTCCCCGGTGAATGCTTTCCTACTCGTTATCGATCGACCTCTCATGGTTTCTCGGCTGCGTCGGGGAAGGTGGGTGCGATCATTGCGCAGGTCGTCTTTGGACCGCTTCGTACGCGTGGTGCGAAGCCGGGTGCGACGGGGAGGGATGCTTCGCCTTGGTTGAAGCATATTATGCAGATCTTTGCGTTGTTTATGTTGGCGGGTCTGATTACTTCTTTCTTGATCCCGGAGACGAAGAGGAGGACTTTGGAGGAGTTGGCGGGTGAAGTTCCTGGGTATGTTTTCCCCTCTTTTTCACATCTTGACTCCATCTTTTTTTCTCTTTTTTTGGGTGATGTACTGAAATTTCTTTCCTCAAATAGAACACCTAGTTACGACCCCTCAAACGATCGTCACACCCGTAAAGTCTCGGACGAGAATTCAGCGGAGGGAAGTAAGGAGAGAGCTGGTCATGAGACGAAAGTCCTTTAGATAATCACCATACCATGTTCCTTTCTCTTCTCCTTGCATTCTACTTTCTTTCTGTCATCTGGACTGGGCTGGGTAGGTATGTAGATTGCCGTTTGTTCTTCCTTCGTGGAACATGATTTGGTGGGGACTAGGGGTACCGGGTTAGATAGATGATACCACTTACTATACTTCTTTTTTGATGTGCATGATTTTTATTTAGGGTGCTGTTTTTATTGGGTGTGTGTGTGTGTTTAAGCGAGAGGTGGGGAACCTCGTGATGAAGTTTTATATTGTATCCGCTCTTTTCTTAGGACTTTGAGGGAAATGGTATAAGTAACATTCCGATTTGACGTGGTGTGATGCTTTATGATGGAGAGATGGGGTGGGTAGGTAAGTAATACTGTACAAAAGCTTTGATTGAAATTTCTTTTGTTTGCTTTATCTTGTTTATTACGTTAGGATTAGGATTAGGATTTGATCAAGAGGGATTCTGTAAGATTACTGTAAGATCAGAGGAAATTCAGATATTTGATTATATTGCTATAGTAAGCGGGTGGATATACTGGTAAAGTACTAAGGTATGTATGTATGTATGTATGTATGTGAGATTATATATACTTGTAGTAAATGCTTCTAGTAATTGCTTGTAGTACTGTACCATGTTTTATTTGGTTTTGTGGTTTGGGTGTTTGTAAATGGCGTCTTTGGTGGTTACTTAGGTATGGACCGTATGGTAAAGTGCTTTATCGTTGTTCTGTTTTGTTTTTAAGGGTGGAACGATTTGTGTTCGTTGGGATTTTGGTGTTTAATTATCTTTAGCCTTTTATCTTTAGCCTTTTATCTTGGAATTGGGATTGGAATTTGTGAGGGTATAGAAGTAGGGAAGCATGGAGGATGAGATGGGGAGATTATGGAATGATTTTCATGGTGACAGATACTGGGTTTTTTTTGGAAGTAGGAGTGGGATGGGGACCTGAAGTGTGTGAGGCGAGGGGGTTTTACGGGGGTTTGTATGGTATGGTGCTTGGATGCTTGGGTAGAAGTTTTGATGTTTTGATGGGTACGGTGGTGATGGAGGTGTGCTTCTGGGGTGGATGTGGTTGAGTGCAAAGTGTTTAGGTTAGAGTGGCTGAACTGAGACTGGTGGATAGAGGATCCTACAGTATCTGGCTATATCGGTTTTAATGTAGGACTGAATACTCGATTCTTTTTAGGAGAGGCTTTTTGAGTGCAATTGAGTGGAATGGAGCTAGGTGGGTGGTTGGGTATAGGTTGAGTTGAGTGGAGTGGAGTAGGTGTTGTTGACCAGTAACTATGCTCCAAATATCTGGATTTTCTATTTATGTGTGTGATCTTTTGCAGGTTGATGGATGGTTGGATTGGAGATATTCGTGGATTGTGTACTGGATATATTCCTTTCACACTTGGGGGGTGCGGAAAAAACGCACACGAACAGTGGATAGAAGTAGATACTATGACTAGGCCGAATTGAGGTTTAAATGCTTAGAATTATGACCTGGTCGACCCAAAGGTTTTGTGTTGTAGGAAAGATGTTGTAAAAGTGGATAAGAGGGCACGTTTTATCCGCATCTTTGAACTGTGCAAGGACTACGCGAATATTCAGATCTGCATCCATTACTAGTACTGAAGGTAGGTAGAGTAGCACTGGCACCTTGGAAATGACGGCAATATTTACTAATGTGGAAACACAACGGTGGTCTTATAAACACATCTTATCCATTAGTCAAGGAAGCACTGCCACCTACCCCTGAGGGGTTCGCGGCCAAGGATCTGCTTAAGCGAGGAGATGTTATGGTTTCAAGTTTGATCACATAAGAGGTAGGTAGGCAGTTACAAGTTGAGAGGAAAGAAGTGGTGATTCATTTTGTCGTGGAGAAAGGTTTTGTGACTCAAACAAACAAACACACACGCACACACACACAGTGGAACGAGGTGCTTAGGGGGAAGCACCGTAAAGGTCTTCCTCCTCCTCCTCCACCTCATCCGCGACGACATCCACGTCCATCGCCTCCCCATCCTCACCCCTCTCCTCACCTTGTGCTGTTCCAGCTCCAGCTCCAGCTTCCGCCTCAGTCTCAGCCCTGCCAGCAGGAGCCTCGGCCTCAGCATCCGCCTTCGCCTTAGCCTTCCCAGCAGCAAGCGCCCGCCGCTTCTTCTCCCTCTTCGGCACGGCCTCCTCGTGCTTCTGCTCCCAGCGCTTCTTGGTCTCCACCCTGCCTCCATTGTCTTCGTATTCCAGCCAGGCAAGCTTGCGCTTAGCCTCCAATCTCTGCCCGAGATAGTTGCTGGCTCTACGAATTATGTCGGCGGAAGGACCTGAGAGTCTGCCCAATCGAGCTGCTGGGACTCTCCCACCAGACTCGCGGCGGAGTTCGCACAGACGGGCGAACTCTTCAAGGGTGATTCGAACACCCTTGGGCTTCCCACACAGGTTCCTATCCTCCGCGGCGAAGGTGTCGAGACGCATGCCCGACAGCCAGGCTCCATCACGAATTCGGAGAAGTTCCGATTCGGTCATCTTGAGCTGAATCTGACCGTGTTCTCTGCGATGCTCTGGGAGCGGTCTCTTCGAGGTACGTCCATTTGGGAGACGCCGTTCCATCTCCCCCCATCTTGCCCCCTATATCCAAGAGTTAGTATCCTATTGTGCGTGTTGTTGTGAGAAGCGCTACTTACCCTCAACATGGCATCCACACTTGGAAATGCCCACATCATCTCAAGCCCCCCCAGAAACCCCAGCGTGCGTTCTTCAACGCAATCTCGCCCCCACATCACCACTGCATCAGCAGCATTCCCAACCCGCTGTAGCAAGAGAGACGTGTCAGTAAATTGTGTGAAGGATGGGTTTTGTGCGTATACGAGGAATTTCGCTTACCTGCTCACCAGCAGCACCACCCGACTCCGAGACGCAACCTCCACTCCTGAATGATCCTGCGTCCTCCCCAAACGCCACCTCCTCGTCCTCGTCCTCGCTCTCGGGAGCAGCGATGTCCTCTGCCTGCAGACCAGGGACGTTAGCAATGGATCTGGAGCGAGCTGGTTCTCCGCGTCTGAGACAGCTTGCGCTGGGGATACTACGTACCTGCTCCTCCACGGCAGAGACACCATCACCACCCTCAAAGCTCACCATGGGTTTCTCTTGTTGTTTGGCCATTTTCTCGGCCAGGAGAAGGATGTCTTGGTGGTTGTTCTTGGTGATTGTTGTTGAGGTTTGCGAGCGAGAGATACCGTTTCTGGCGTCGACTCAATTTAAATAATTTCGAAGATTTGTTGACGACGGAATCGAAGATTTCGAATGGCCAAAGTGCCGATAGTAAAATTGGAAGCGATTCCGATGTCGATGCCGAATTGTTGTTGATGTTGATTCACCAGTATCTCTCGCTCGCTAGATTGACCAATGGGGAGCCGCGTTGGTGGGTGAAGGTCTTGGCGGATTTTGATGATGTTGTTTTTTTGTCGATGATATATATACAAACACCACTCCAACCCTATACATTCCTGCCTGACACTCCCCAGATAAAGAAACGTATATACAAGGAAACGATAAAATGCATAAGTGGGTCAGCAAGTCGCTGAAAACTTTGGAAATGCCAAGTATTCGCTAAGCAACTTACCCGAAACACCATTCATATGCATCCCCATACTCTCCAAAACTCTGTAGCGAGGGCAGAACGGTACTCAAATTCCTAAAGTTCAGCTATCAACGAAACATCGCTACCATTCCTATTATAATAACCCTCGACGACATTCTTCATCTCTCTCTCTCTTGACGTGCGTACCTAAACAGAATTTCGGACCGTGAGTTCCTCTGGGGTAGGCCATCTCGTGAGCTTTTCAAGTTCATCCTCAATATATTTTGGCAGGTTGTCGGTCTGGTATCCGGAATTGCGAGCTTGGATTGCGCTCGGTGAGAGGTAACCAGCTTGGTACTTCAGGTAGTACCGCGCTGTCCATCGTGGGAAGAATGGGAGTTCGGGGCGGGAAGGGAGACCGTCTTCTGGCTTTGATATGTTTTCGCCGTGCTATGGTACGTTGTTAGCTGATGACTTATCTGGGAGGGAAGGGTGTTTGGGAGAGGTCGGTTCAGTGACACTGGCGTCAATTGACGTCAAAGGTCAGGCAGAGGGAAAGATGATTCTTGCTTACCAAACTCTTGAGCTTCTTGATTCCATCTGCAAGTCTTCGTAGATGCAATCCAAGGAGGGTTCTTGGGTCCAGGCCAAGGTCCACCACACCCATCTTGGTAGCCGCAAGATGCAGCTTTGCCTTGATCCCCGCTTCCAAGTGACGAGAGACCGCTTCTTGCTCATCCCACGGTGGGTCATTGAAATTAGCCTTGAGGATCGGGCCACCAGTAAGACCTCGCAGGCGGTTCAAAACCTCACGCTCAGCAAGTGTGAGCTGGATTGGAGATTTGGCTCCATCTGGAACCTGCTCGAGTCTCGTGTCCCACAGATCAGGGAGACCGTACCCGGGACGGACACACATCAGCTCTTCGCGGGACACCATTACCTCGTAGAAGCCCCAGTGGCGGCGAGCGTAGGCGAGATTGTACTGGACGTCGACGGACTCCTCTCTCTCCTCGTACGTGACTTGCACTTGGACTTCAACAAACTGGCTTGTTGGCAAACCAGTGATAGGGTCCAGTGCGATGGGGAAGAGATCGAGGTCCGGACCGAAGCAATCGTTCTCATCGTTGTGGTGGTGGGTGAAACCACCAGACAAGCCTCCATTGGAGACAAGTGTTGCTTCATGAGCCTGTACCAAGTTAGCTGACTTGAACTGGAACGTGGTATGAGTTGTGGTCAGTTGAGGAGGTACTTACACCGTCGATACGAACAGGAACTACATCAGAGTCGGTGTTTCCTGTGGTGGTTGTGGCTCCACCGGCCAACAACCAAACCTGACAGTCTGTTATCATCGCATCCGATATCCATCGAGAATAATAAGCTTACCTTCTTGCCATCAACCGAGAGCCTAGCTTCTGCCTCGCTGACATCGGTACTGCAAAGACTAGGCTGGTAGCTGTCAGCTTGGATGCGTCAGAATCAAGTGTCGTTCACCTACATCGATCAAACCCTCGGATAAGCGAGGAACAACAACGAGCAAACGCGAAAACACCTCTGCGGGGTGGTCCTCCATCTCTGCTAGTGATTGCGCGATGCGAACACGAGGCGGGGATGGGATGTGGTGGTGATGTTGACGGTTGTAGAGGAGAGAGTGCGAAAGGTTGCGTGGAAAGAGAATTTGAGGAGATTTGTGCATCAATCGGATATGAAATCGGATCTGTTCCCTCCCGATGAGGTCCGATCAGGTGATTTAAGGGGGTTGGGGGTGCTCTAATACCAGGGGTGGAATCAGGGTGAGGGACACCGATTCACTTCACTACGCGTGGTTTGGAGGAGCAATGTCTTGATTCTTTGGTTTTTTGGATTCTTTGAGGGGTCATAGTACTTTATAGGGGCTACATAAGGCTGAATTAAGGTAGATGAAGCGTGCACCCTCCCCCTATTTATCTCGCGTAATTTTACGAACTTATGTAAGATCTAAACCACGCTTTTATAGAGCGATAACCCATTTTTTGGAAGATTCATCAAGATTGTAATGATTTGGTACTGGATTCCAGCATTTCTCATGATGTTTAATATTATATAGAAGCTATTTTACTAGATTTATAGTATTTATAAAGCGTAATAATATATTTCTAGAATAATTTATATTAATTCCTTGAAAATAGATTTTCTTACTACTCTAGAACTATCTTATTTAGAAGGTAATATTTAGCTATCTACTAATATATATAATTTGTTATATTTATTTAAATCTATTACTTATTTACTTACTTAATACTATTCTTCTATTTCTTTTAAGTAATAACTTTTCTATTTAATTCTTCTAAGTATTCTTCGATCTAGTCTACGAATAATAATTCTAGAATTATTTAGATATATTTCTTTTTTAATAGCTTTCCTCTTATTCTTATATAATTCTACTCGATAAAATAACCTTTAGTTAAATACTAAATTTTAGTTTTCGTAGATTCTGTTGAACTCTATTTCTAACTTCTTTATTAAATCCTATTTTTGTAATTTCTTTCATTAAATAGTTTCTAGTTGGTATAAGAGAATATTATATCTATAAGTTAGAAGAGTTTAGATATAACTTATAAGTCTTTTCTAAATAACTTCTTCTATTATACTAGTAGAATTATATATAAGAACTAGCAGTTAGGTAAATATTATAATCTAAAACTAGTACGTTATATTTTTATTTACGTCTTTAGTAATATTCTTTCCTCTATTATAAATTGTGACGACACGCACAGCTGATGGACCGCGCACGAATGCACGACTACGCCTGGTGTAAGTTGGGCACTGTGGAACTGTCTATTCGAGGATTCTAAGCTGAAGAGAGAAGAGAACGAAAGGACAGAAGCCCAGGAGCTGGAAGCTCTTATATACCGGAGGTGTGCCAAGCCATAGCTAACCGAGCCGGGCTCGGGAAGCACGGGGCACGCCGGGTGCCAGCCAGGGGCTGGTTTGAGGCATGGTGGCGGTAAGAACCGTCACATAAATAATTGGATTTATGACTACTATTAATTAATATTATATTAATCGAAAAACCTTACTAGAAATATCTCTATAAATAACTTCTCTTATTAGTTTAGAATTATATTTTTATTTATAAAATAGTATTTAACTAAATGCTTATATTATAATATACTAGTTAATAATAAATAAGACTTCTATTTTTATTCTCTAACTTAATATATAGTATCTCCCCTTGTTTCCTCTCCTAGCTACTAAGAAGGGAGTAGGAGATCTATATTAATAGCTAGGAGAAGGAAAGTAGAATACGTCTATCGCTTTATAATAGTAAATGACTATTAGCTAGCTCCGAGCGACTAGCGTGCTCCGCTAGTGTACTGTGGTATCTATAAGTACTGTAACGAATACTCAAACTGGCTAACTAAACTTGGCTGGGTGTTCGCTGGTTGGTATGCTATGATAAGAAGAAGACCATCGGGTTGTTCACTTGGAAGTGAACTCGTTACTTGTATCAAAGATGTCAAACTAATATGATAAGATTGATAACTAAGTTGAGCACGAAGCTCCTATCTAATGGCAGACGTGCCAGTCTTATATAGAACCTTCGTTCTCTGATTGATCGCTCCGCTCGCCCTGATCGCTTCAGTCGACAGGCGACTCAGGCGACTAGATCACGTGATTTTCTAACCAGAAGAAATCCCTGGATCGCTTAGCTAGTCTAACTGATCCCTTTTTTGCTATAAGTCCATGGATGTGCTTAACCTGTCAGGACGCCGCCTGGACTTCCTTTGTCACATGCATTGCTACACGTGATTCGTGACACTCAGGGCTAGCAGGGGCGCTAGCGCCTTGGCACTATTATATAATAGCGAGCACCTACAACCTTTACTCGGTGTGCACATATAATAGTCGAATATAATACTATTCTATTTACATTAACACTTTGTCTAGACTCTCTATTGGAGTTAAACCAACAATCTTCTTCTTCTATGTCTTGTATCTTTGCGAATTCTCCTTGTCTAATGTCTAATTCTTCGAGTTCCTGTTATCTTCAAAGAAGTCCGTTTTGAAGATGTCAGGCTTTTCTACTTATGTTGTCGTTGAATAGCTTGACACTTTGTCATACTTGTACAAATTCTTGCTCCCGAGCCTATTCTTGTGCCTGGTACCGTTCAATAGCCTTGCATAATTTTATCACATTTCTACGATTCTGTGCATCCTTGTCAAGCTTGCTTTTACTAGTTCGAAACGGAACTATAGAGGGCTAGTTTTTCTAGCAATAAGATTGGATTCTCGGATCAAAGTATTGCATTGTATGTTATGCATATTGAGCTTGACTACTACGTAACTGCAGGCTTTGGCTGAAACTTTGAATACGATTTTCCGTTCCAAAGCCTGTATCCTTTGTTCCGACGTGAGCATGATTATGTCACAGGGGAGTACGTTAAGTGGGGGTAACAGGGGGTATGCTTCGGAGAGGAGGCTTAGCAGTTTGTGTCGGTTTGCAAAATTTTTCATTCGGGTAGATTCGGGAGCGAAAAGGTCTGAATAGCTATAGAATAACCGAGAGCTAGTTGTTTTGCCGACTTGCCGACTTACCGACTTGCCGTTCCATTTTGCTTGTGACTCTATCAATCGGTTAGCGTGAGTCATTTGATAAGGTTGTGGTAATTCCAAAATGGAATGACGGAGCCGACTTGCAGGGATATACGTCTTTGATTACCGTAAACGGCTACCACGCTATAGCAGAGCTCAAAAGCAAAACACGTCACAACGAATCTCCTGAATTGATGAAGTCAGAGAATTCAATGGTATTTGAATTCAGAATCAATGAAAACCAGATGTCGCTCGAAAAAGACGAATTGTACGTACAGGTGCCAAGTTCTAAGTAGCGCTACCATGTGTCAAGAGCGAAGAAGGTATTGTTAGATTGTGTGGGAAATAAACATGGATAGAGAGAAAACAATCAACGATATCCGATATTCGATATTCGATTTTCATCTGATATCCGATCAACCTATGTAGCTAGATGCAAGTGTCCGCAATAGGACTAGCACGTTTTATGAAATATGCTAGCACGCACTAGACAGGGGAGGTGAGAGCAGAGCTGGTAGTGCTTGTGACGTGATAGACGCGTTTGATAGGAAACGGGGGAAAAATGGAGAATTTTCGCGGGAGAATATCCTGTCACGCGTCCTTTGTTTTGGCGCTCTTTCAAGAATTAAGCGAGAGGCAAGTGAATTGCAAACAACGTCCAACGGGAGGTCTTGATATATATTATCTGTTCGACATAGGTTACATGTGCCTTGAGTTCGAATTCGAATTCATAGGGAAAGATGTAGGTGATAATTACTTGATAGACAACCTGCAAGGGTATAGCGAACTCTTGGTAGTCGATTGTTGATCGGTTTGTTTGTAGTTGCCTTAGACTTTTCGGTTAGGGCTCTTTCCGTACTATTTGATTACAGGGGTACATAAGCGAGATTAGCCGCTATCTTGGCACGAGTCTGGGTCTCGCGACTATTGAGCTTTCATTTCTATTTCTATCGGTCGTTCGTCGATTTCCTTCTCAACTTCTTTCCAACCAACAACCCACCCACCAACTCTTTCGCAGAGGGTTCCATCAACGAAAAGGACTCTAGCGACCTTGGATCGCGATCAGGACTGGCTACCAGGACTGTATCATCGCCCAAGTTGATTCAGTTGATCGTCGCGAACGTTTAGAGCGTCTTTTGGTAAAACGCCACCGATCAGAGCACGACCGACCAGAACCAGCCGGTCAGACCCAACCGATCAGAACAACGAACAGACCCCCAACAGAAGTCCACCTTCGAGAACTTCATCTTCAAGTACCTCGTCGTAAATAATTGGACTCGTAAGTGGAACTCCACCGTTTGGAACTCTTCCATTCTAACTCCTCCATCAAGAAACCCATCGTCGTTCGGAATTCTATCATCATCCAAGTTGATTCGATCAAGCGGAACAAGTTAGTCAATCCGTCAAACAATCTTGCCTTTAAGCTAACATATGTAGGATGTCTTCTCCAACTGATAACTTCCAAGTCGGCAATTCCGGTAATAATGAGAGCGGTGGTAGCATTCCGTCACCTGATTCTCAGCCTGAGTCCCAACCCGAGACCAAACCTAAAGTCAAGAGAGGTGTGAAGGGACCCATCGACATGACAAAAACCAAGAGTAAGTCGCTACATTCGATTGAAGAACTCTTAACTAACCAAACTTCAGGAACCTCCAAGTATCGACGAGAATATGACCCTGTCAAACACGGCCCTATCATTGTGAATGGTCATGTGCCCGGAAAAACAACCGACGCTCACTTTGAACTATTTCCGATGCCGATTGTCAACGATATAGAGTTGAAGCAGGGCAAGAAGCTAACTCTCAATCATAAGTACAGCTCCGCATCTTGGCTTGTCAGTACCCGAGGAGCTGTCCAAGAGGTCCAATGCGACCACTGTGAGGACGGCCCCTATACAAAATGTATTGTGGTCCCCGGTGTCCTGAACAATTCTTGTAGCAATTGTTTATACAATGCACAGCTCACCAAATGTAGCCACCGTACCGATCGTAAAAGATCCCAAAATGAGTTGGAAGTTCGTGATGGAGGAGGCCAAGACCAACAACCGACCGAGACTCTCAATGCTCCTCGTAAGAAGCCAAGACGTTCTATGTCGTTCGCGGAAAAGAATGCCCCTAAACTCATAACATGTAAGTCTGAAGACCAAGCATTCTCAACCCATCGAGTTCAATTCGTACTAACAGCTCACTTCATAGTCACTAGAGAGGAGATGGGAGCGATGACTCGGGAAGTCTTTAATATGTCGCGTGAGCAACTCATCCAGCATCACCACACCATGGACTTGAAATCCTTCGTGGTCGCTCGATATCTTGCTGTTGTTCAATGGCGTGAAGCTGATTCTTGGTTGGATGAGCATCTCCAAAAATAGATTTGAAACTTGACAACGTCGCTGATGTCCGTTTCAATCTTGTCTTGCTTTATTAGAGAAGTTTTTACGGAAGTCAAAGGGATGTTCACAAGTTGTTTCTCGTGTTATTGAACTGAGTGGAGTTTCTTATTCTGTTGTGCTGGGTTTAAGGGGAAAGCACGATGTACGTAATTCTGCCAAGCAAGGTAGAACTCAGCATACCACATAGAATAATGAAAGTAATTTGATAAGAAGAAAGTATAATGATGAAAAGTCGCTCGTATGTATTCGATGGTAGTTGTACTTAAGCTGGTAAGGTGGTTCCTGATGATTATTTCTTTGAGATACTGTAGGATACTTGGCTGAAGTTAGTACGGAACGGACATGGGCGGATCGGGCACGGAATTACTAAACTTTTAATTATAAAAAGCTTTCTTATAAGTATACGGATTTTTATATTAGAGGAGCTATAGTAACTGTTGCCCGTCGCCCGTAAGAGACGTAGGTAGTTGTTACTTTATATATACCTCTCTTTTCGAATAAAATTATTCTAAAAGTATCGTAGAATTAAAATAGCTATATAAAGCTATAAAAAGAGTTAAGAATAATTATTAAGGAGTACTTTTATTAGTTTAGGTATAGTAATATTTTTGTTTGATTTATATTAGAAGGTTAGTATAATTACCTTTTATTAAAAATATAGAGAGAAATCCTTATAAGTATTCTTTTTTATTCTTTTTTCTTTTATTAGCTTTTATATACTATTATTTACTTTCTTTTTCTTTTTTCGTTTATTCTCTTTATATTACTAGTCTTACGTTTATAGTCTTATACTATAGTTAACTATCCCTTTTAGATAATATAGTTATAACTTTTACCTATGCTTTACAGTAGAATAAAAGTATCTATATTCTTAGTACTTTCGTGTACGTGTTACAGAGTTAGAGGGACTGGGGTCTGGTCACGTGTAGCACGGCACGTGCGTGCCGCTGGCATCCTGTATTTAAGCTTCCGTTCCTCTGGAACTCTCTTCTCTCCTCACTTAGTTGTTCGCTCAATACAGCAGTTTCCGTTTGACTCCGTATTCATCACAGCAAGCAGTGGTTTACTCCACACGGTTACAGTACGTACACACTACAAATATTACGCTATATGCGCTATAAGGTTCCTAGAGCTATATAAACCTATATTCCAAGTAATTAAGCATCAACTTAACCTAGTTATCGTATCTATATATGTCTACTTTCAAGTATAGGTAAAAGTTGTAACTATTTTGTCTAGAAGGGATAGAGAAAGAAGAAAAAGTAAGTGTCAGAAGACGAATAGGACACAGTGTAGAATACGATAAGCATAAGGTCAGAAGCTAGCTAAGTGTCACGAATCACGTGTTAGCATGTGACGAGTTAGTCCAGACGGCGTTCTGACAGGACAGATACATCCAGAGTAGTTATACCATAGCAGTGGTTACTCAGGGTTGTTGAGTATCCAAGGATTTCATAGCATTCATGTCACGTGACGAAAGCGCAACAGCACGACGAGCGCGCTGTCGACATTCAGGATTTGGAGAACGAAGGTTCTATATAAGACTGGCACGTCTGCCATTAGATAGGAGCTTCGTGCTCAACTTAGTTATCAATCTTATCATATTAGTTTGACATCTTTGATACAAGTAACGAGTTCACTTCCAAGTGAACAACCCGATGGTCTTCTTCTTATCATAGCATACCAACCAGCGAACACCCAGCCAAGTTTAGTTAGCCAGTTTAAGTATTCGTTACACTAAGGGAGCAGGGAGTCTTTATAAGACGACCCTGACCGAGTAAAAGCTACTAGAATACTAGGCATCTACCTAGGTAACCGAGATAGGGGCTAGGTAGCAAAGATAAGAGTATAGGAGTCTCGGCTACTATAGGACTATACCGTAGTAGTAAGGGGCTTAGGAAAGTAGATAGAAGTAAAAGTAGTAATATAATAGCCTAGCCGGTTTAGTAAAGGCTTATGTCCTACTTAAGTAGAAATATTATTATATTAATATATATAAAGTTATCCTATATTCTTAATAGGTTTATTTCCGATTATAAGCTATTATTACCCTCTATCTCCTATACGGTTCGGAGGTCTTTCGAAGAGCCCTCTGTAACGAATACTCAAACTGGCTAACTAAACTTGGCTGGGTGTTCGCTGGTTGGTATGCTATGATAAGAAGAAGACTATCGGGTTGTTCACTTGGAAGTGAACTCGTTACTTGTATCAAAGATGTCAAACTAATATGATAAGATTGATAACTAAGTTGAGCACGAAGCTCCTATCTAAATGGCAGACGTGCCAGTCTTATATAGAACCTTCGTTCTCTGTTGGATCGCACACATCGCTTTCGTCGCTCGCGACTTGGGCGATCTGGGCGATCACGGTCACGTGATCTTTCCTTCGTTCTCTTGTTGGATCGCACACATGGCTTTCGTCGCTCGCGACTTGGGCGATCCGGCGATCATGGTCACGTGATCCTTCCTATGCTAAGAAATCCTTGGATCGCTTAGCTAGCCTAAGCATCCCTATTTGCTATAAGAGATATGATAGTGCTTAACCTGTCAGGGCGCCGCCTGGTCTTCACTTGTCACATGCTTACGTGATTCGTGACAGTAACTTAGTTCTATACTTATATAATTACTACTACTACTACTACTATACTTAGTCTTTTATAGAATAAACTCTAATTAATATATCTTTTAAACCTACTTTAATCTAACTAGTATACTATACTATAATAAGTATTAGGGTTATACCCTATATATTAGCTTTATAATATTCTAATTAAGAAGTTAGTTTATAAATAACTTATAAGAAATATTAAACCATTTTATTTTAATTAAATCTAAATCTTATTATAAAGTATAGTTATACTTTAATTATAACTTATACCTTTATATTCTCTTACTAAATAAACCTAAACTTTAGAGTAGTTTAATAACTTAGTATTACTAAGGTATTAGAGAAGCCCTATATTTATATAATAAAATAATTCTACGCGAGGGTACTTAACTATAGTCTAAAAGACCTCCGAACTATATAGGAGATAATATAATAGTAAGGATATAATAGTAAGAGTAGAAGTTCTATAAGTACTTATATAATTGTTTATTATTGAAAGTTTAGTAATTCCGTGCCCGATCCGCCCATGTCCGTTCCGTTTCGTAAACACTACAAAACTATATCTTAAAATGAAACAAGCTATTTCTGTAAAACGCTTAATTAACGAGGAGGATTTAAGAGGAAACTCTCTCGACCGGGATTTGTAAGATATGTTACAATGGTTGGCTTCATTTGATAGAAATAGCTTTATGTACTAGCTAGAAATAAAGAAGGTTTTCTTTTCATTTATATATGAGACGGCTAAAAGGTCACGAAGTGAATCAAAGTTATATCGGTAGCGGTGCTATGAAATAAGGTGGACATTAACGGGATTCGGTCGAAATCCGGAGCTGGGGACAGTAGATTGCTGGCACTGGCGGTCTTAGCCGCCCAAGAGATATTGACATTCAGGTTCGAGAACTGTCGGTACATTCAGGTCCTGGAGTGGAAAGGAGGACGGCCACGTCATACTATCTAAGATAGGTAGAAGGTACGGCGCACACTTCCATATATTTGGCTACAACACTACCCTCTTTTACGGAGGTAGACTCCATACGAAATATAACCAAAAGATGTTGTACCGTATCACTTCGCTTCGTTAGTGATACCAACAAGAACCTTCGAAACTTTCGTTGGCGAGAACGTTGGAGAATCGACCGGATTCAGGGAGGACAAGGCGGCAGTTAGGTTATCAGACTTGGAACACACATGGTATTTTGCAATATAACAAGTCAGTGGAGTGTGTATTCTGGGACTGGGTAGCTCAATGGATATATACTATGCCTGCGCACTCTATCTCGGGCTACCGCCAAAGTTTCGCATTAAGGTATTTTGATTGTACACAGGTACTATAAAGAGCTAGATTCCGGGGTTATCATAATAGAGCGTGGCCGTCCCTCAGTATTCTGTCTTACATTTCTTTGTGGAAGGATAGCGATTCAATTAGTTTGGTAGTCTGTTATCGAGAAGAGACTATGTATAACCACTGGAGTGGAGGTGGTTCTCGAAAGTCTCCAAAGATTCTCAAAAAGTTTTGAGCAACAACAAATCACATCCCATCTTACTACATCGTGCGCATTGACCCAAGACTGAGCTCTTTTCTGGGGCGCAAAGACATTGATACTATACTGGCGAGGTGTCGAATACTTGAATATGAGTTTATGTTTGAGTTCGATTCCAGGGATTCAGAGAAGTTGTTTTCTTGGGGCAGACAAAGTGTATGCGAGTTCATTCATGGAAGTGAATTCATAGCTGAATCCTGGTGTGGAAAAATGTTCATCATAAGCACTGGTTGAGCACCAGACTCATTTGAAATAGCCCGTACATGAAACCTTTTGTAGATAAGTGGGGCTTTCTTAAGAGACGCTAATACCCTCCGAAGTAACCAGCTGATATTATGGTGTAATTCCTTGTCCTTATAGAATTTAAGGCCACTGGGATTCAAGAACCCATGTATTTAGGCTAAGTTGTAGAAAGGCTATAGTAATTGGTACCATCCCTCAATACCCGAGCACATAATTAAACGCCACTTCAAGCACGAAATGGGGATTTATTCCTCTAAAACCACTTGAATTAAGCGGACCCCTGCGAAGACCATCCACTTGCCGGGAAGTTCATTTCGCAGAAAATTGGGATCGGATTTGTTGAGTTGCCTATATTATAAACTATACCGACTTACCATGATATTCAAGTCTCATATATTGATATCAACCCAAGGTTTTTGGAACTCGTTCTCGGTGGAATCATACCCCTCTCGATGGCCGGGCATTTGAACAGAATGACTTAACTACTCAGCTCTACTCGACCGGTACTCCAGTAGTTAGAACGTGATTCAAATATAAAGAAATTATCTCATACCTTACATATAGGGGCACTCGGCTAAGTCCCAGTACGTACCCCAACCGTACAAAGTCCATCCGGGATCTGCGGGCGCGCTACGGGAACTCGGGCCGGGCCATTCCGCACTACTCGAATAACTGATGAGAGAGAAAATGTGAATTGGAATGATGATTGTATTGATATTGCGCCAACTTGTGCCGAAGGACGTCTGCAAACTGCTTATTCCTAGTACAAATATGACCCCTGAGTCCATGGCCAGTCCACCCACTATGAGTTATTCGAGTACTTGGCGAGTTCGGTCAAGTAGATGTTACTAATAGTCAGTGCGTCTTCCTACTGCGCTGTCGCTTGTAGTCAGCGGAAGCAAGTGTAACGCAAGGAGTTAAGTAGTAATATTATAGTTGTTTTTCTAGATAAAAGCCTCTATATACGCTTAAAAGAAAGCCCTTAATCGGGTCTATAGTATATCAACGTTAAGAAGAAATGCGACTATAGAGTGTTATAATATATAGATAACTAAGTAAAGTATACAAGGACGTACTCGCGCACGCACTTTATGCCTAGGAAAGTCACATTACGTGCGCACCCTACCAAAATCAATTAAGGTACATAAACACGTAAACTCGTCCGCATCGCACGTAATTTATAATAAAAACATATACTCTTTTTATATAGGACAATAATTAACTATACCTACAATTCTATTTTATTTATATGTCTTTCCGACTCGTTGACGTGGCGCTATATCGTAGTTAAGATCGATATGCGTGGCCAAATGTTGCACTTGCTTCCGCGTTGCACTTGCTTCCGCTGACTACAAGCGACAGCGCAGTAGGAAGACGGACTGACTATTACTCAACTCAACTCAACTCATTTTCCACGCTGAGATTACTTAAAAGGGCTAATCACTTTTCTTAATTCGACTCAAGAGATGGATGGTATCCGCTCTTTCATTTTTCAAAATATACGAGCCGTAAATCATTCGCTAATACTTCAACATATGTAATAATATACAGGCACCAGTCATCATTGAGAAACTCTGTGCACCCACGGGGAGATGGCACGTGACAGACCTCGGGCCGCACCCGATTTAGGAACCGATTCTAGACCGACCTTCCCTGAAAATCAAGTTTTGTACCAGTACTTACTGTGACTTACAGTACTAGTTGCATCCTGTCACTGTTTCGAGTCTCCCCATTTATACTTTAGGCTTTCACAACGGACTAAAATTTCTCGTCATAGGGGTAATGAATATATTGTTCAGGGGCGTTTACCTGGGGTGACTTGTATTTCGCCTGGGACGACGTGCGAGGTACAGGGAACTTGCAAGGAGATAGCGCGCTAAAAGGCTTGAACATACTTTGAAGTAACGCCGATTAATGCCAGTCTTTTGAATTAGAGTTGCTCAGTTAGCTAGATACCCATGTTTCTTGATCGCCACAGCTGTCCATATATCACAGCGAGATATCCTCGCCCTTCAAAGATCTTTATCGTTCTACCAAAACACCCAGCGTCGTGAAAGAGACCCATCATCCTGCACATCCGCCCCAATCACTTTTCATACGCTATCCAGACCTCCGCCTCAACGGCGCATTTCCCAATACTTTTCCTCGAACCACCTTCAACTTATCTCTCGAGAAGACAAATATCATACCAAATCCTCCCACAAAATGCAATTCCTCCAAAACCTCCTTGTTCTTGCGACTTTGGCGACTACATGTGCCGGCAAAGGTTACGTGTTCGCAGCGTGCCAGGATAAAGACGGCAAGCTCATTAATTCAATAACGAAACTCGCTTGTCAAGACATGAGGAAGAGAAGCTGCCCAGATTGTCTTATGGCCGGTTTTGATGAATGTGAGAGTGATAAAAAGAAACTTAACGCCCCAAGGTGGCTTGAAACTTGCCGTAAATTCGGTGCTGTAACAGCTATCGGGAGGTAATAGGATACGGTGATGTTGGAAAGTTGTGGAGAGTTGGTAGCGGGCACTGGCAATGTTAGCACATCGGATGATGGTGTCGAAGTTGTCGCTTTCTGTGCACCGCGAAGAACAGATAACTATGACGGGAGGGCTAGATGTAAATTAAAGGTGAAATCAGTCTCTTTAAACTCTCTTTAAATGTAAGAAAGTAAAATACTAGAATGGAAAACTCTCCTCTCTTAATCTGACAATCACGCCCTATCTCGCTAATCCCATCCTGTCACCGTCACCCTTACTCCGCCATCTCAGCCTATCCACAAACCGCAGCCCTCCTCCTAGCTCTCGCCTCCCTCCTCGACAATCCTGTCAAGCCAAAGCGTTTTCCGAACTATACCGTAAGTTTTGTCGTTCCCTATAAAGACCGCCCGTTGTTGATTGTTTGTGTTTGCAAGTTTCTCAAAGTGAGACCGGACTGCGTTGACGTGTACAGGACTTCTGAAATTCCAGAAAGGTTTGGTGTGGCCATGCGGAAGAAAGGGGATGAACGGGAACGTGAAGGATAGCTGTGATATTTGTGCCGCCACTAGGAGGAGCGTTTGTGGGTATTTTAGGGTCAGAGCGTTGAAGAGGAGATGTGACATGGAGATGGCGTGAAAGTTCCTTGGGAGAATTCTATTAAGATGGGAAGATGGGAAGTGAAGGTGGAGGTAAGTGTGCTGAAGATAGATAGAATTAATGGGAAAAGGGGTACCTCAAGTATAAAATTGTCAAAACTTGATTCGTAAAACTTAATAATCCCGAACGAGAGATTACCCATTCTACCTAAACCCACTCGTTAGATCGTCTGGTAAACCATAAGTCCAGCCATGTCATTTTGTGTTCTACGAATAAGAGGACGGATTGAGGCTGGAATGACCAAAGGACTTTATTTTGCCAGAAAGAAGTTGTAAAAGTGGCCGGTCATCTACTCCACTTTGACGCTCGTCCAAAATCCAGTCTGGAAGGGATGGCAGAGAGGTATTTGGGAAGGCATTTGGTAGTGATATGCAAGTAACTATACTATCTTGAAACACGTCATCACTACATTAAGAAAATTTAAATACTCAACGGTTCAGTAGTTGCATAGCATCGTCTTGAAAGGCTGAAAGAGAAAACTGTACTATATGATAAAAGTTGAAATACTACCTTTGTGTCGTAATACTGCCAGACAGCATTTGTTGGGGGCCCATCCTCTACACAAGGTTGCAATTTGAGAGTTATTCAAAGAAAAAGTCTGAGTGAAGTAGGTCTAAACACCAGCCCCTATTTAAGCGAAATCAGGCAAGACGTGTTGTGTCACGTAATAGCAAGATGCAATTCACTGAATTTGCATTTATTTCTGCTGAATCAAGGGTTCAACCAATGAATCTAATTTCAAATTCAATACAGAAGATATCGCAAAACATCATAGTGAGGTATCAGATAGAGAGGTGGCAACAGGGTAATTTTGAGGTATGTCATCTTCAGCCCCCAACCTCGCTTATTTTGTTTCTATTAAGAGACACAGCTGACTACATGGGGCTCCTCGCACCAGCATATGGTGTAACTTGAATCATTGCTAACATTTCTGAGGCTCATATCAGAACATATACTTTCTGACTGACGTGCAAAGAATGCGACCGTTGATCAAAATGAGGAAAAGGCTGAGACGATGACGCACACGCAGGCCAGTAAGGCTGTGCCTTTTATGTTGTGTAATCCCTTCAGCAAAGTTACACAGAGCATTAGTTTTCTTTCCAAGATGAAAGGTCTCGAGAAAATTGGCCCGGGGCTCATTAATGGAACGCTCCTTCGTTTCATCTAACTTACTCGGCCCTTACCTTCCATAAAAATACCTAGTCAAACACCCGTAATCACAAATTTGAGTATGCTTTACAGCGGGGAAACTTATGATGCGCCTGATCCAGCACTATATGTCCCTTTTGGCGTTGAATTTTCCACCGCTCACCGCAGTGTGGGATAACGCCAGCCTCACCGAGTAGAGGATTGCTGATACTGGTATATCCATACATATCCTGATACAAGCTGATTGATGGTTCAGCGGGAACGCCCCGTACGTTACACTTCAATTTTATTCTTTAAATGATATGGTGCTTGTTCTGTGCTTTCTCAATGGTCTCGTCCAATTGATTATCTCTTTCGTGATACCTGGATACTTTACTCCCTCTCAAAGAATCCCATTCCTATATGGATTTTTATTCTGCAACTTCAGCTGAAACTAGTCTTTATAAGAGGCATTTCGAATTTGGTGCGAGTCTGGCTGTTACTAACTCAGGCAAATAGGCTCAATAATATCCTACCCTCCGTTCGTCAATGGACAGCCATAGTTTACCGGAGCTACTAATTGTGGAACCAACTCAAGAAGGATTAATTTTGGATCAGCCAGGGCTGGAAGTTGGAAATAAACTTCCTCAGTTGCAAGACGCAAGCCAAAATATTGTACATGCATTGAGCACCAATGCCAAAGGCCGAAGGATAAGAATATGTGGGATCAAAAGAAGAACATTTGTTATGGTTGTCACGTTTGCCATTATAGTTTCCATCGTCGCAATCGTAGCAGGAGCAGTGACAGGAACAAGGGAAAGAGACGAACAGAGAATTCCTCCCAGGGTACGTCACCAGGGGCAAATACAACCGCCAAGCCTGACGATAGTATCTCCCCTTCCATGCTCATAGCAAACTCATCAATCGCATCGATCAACTGGACTGACTTTGCCCAAATTCAATATCGTGGGGTACTCTATCAAAACACGACAAACACACTCATATTCTCTGTCTGGGATTCACGAAGCAATAACTGGACAACCTCTCCCGTGATGATAGTAGGAAAGCAAAATCAACCGATACTCCATGGAACAACAATCGCGGCAACTGTAGGCCATCTCCCCTTCAACTGATCTAGGCCAAATGACTCCACCAAACCGAGCTATGATAGTACCATCTTCCAGATCGGGGTGTACGTCTACTCAGTAGACAACACCATAATAGAGTTTGTCACCAACGACTTTCAAAACTTTAGCTGGAAACGTGGTGCATTAACCAACGGAAAGATAAATGGCATGGAGGGGTCTAAGCTGTCAGCAGCCTGGCAGAGATATACTGACCTGTATCCCGAGTGTTACAATGGGTTTGTTGTCCTATACCAGGAGGAGAATCGAACCCTTAAAGCCATGGGATTCAACACTTCTGTAGCGAAATCGACGGACGGAGTAGTTAGATGGGATGTCCTCCCTGACATTGCATTTCCCAACGCAGCTCCTAGTACGGCGGCAGCATTGATTCCACTTGCTGATCTTACAACGGCAAAGGTTCCAAATCTGCTTGGGTTATGCGGAAAGTAATCAATTGATAGAGGAGGTTGGGTGGCGAAAGCGAGCATGGAGTCCTGGTTTGTGGTACGCACAATTCGAGTATAGAACAGTGTTGACCACCATGTAGGAAAAATTGTCGTGCCTCAGCACCAAGATACTTCATTTCTTACCGCTATTCCTATCTATACTGCTGATCATGGTCTCTTGGACATTTATGTTGTCAGGCTATCTCATTCTGTAATTATCACGATGAGATGGTGCAGTGATCAAATGTGGGGAAGAGCACAAGCACCAATTTTGAAGAACTCACCAGAGGAGTTGAATTTCAGTGCTATTGCTATGAACGAGGATCGGAGAATTTATGGTATATCTCTCGGGAAGATACACGAGTTTGAAATTGACAGGGGGGATCCGTTTAGTTGGAACTATATTGGCGCTGTAAGCATATGAGGAAATGATTGCCATCTCGCTTGAGTAATGGGTCTTCGGACGAAGACTTGGAGATAGCGAATGTCTGTGCATGATGATTCCATAAATCTTTATCAGATATCTTGAACCAAACAATGAATTTTCAAAATTATTTTCAACTCTCCAGACTCTTCAACACAGTAATAACACTCCCACATCTTACTGGCATTCATCGAAGCTGCCATTATTGAAACGATAAAAAGCAACAATTTTCTTCATATCTTCCTGCTATTCCACACAACTTTTTCGAGGAAAACTTTTCTTCGAATTCCATCAATCCCGCTCAACCAAACGATAGCAGCTAGAATTTCAACCACTCCCCTCTCCTCCCAGGAGGCCTGCCCCTCTGGTGGCAGAGATATATCCGTCAAAAGATCACGTGAAAAATTTTCACCCCCTCTTTCTGACC